CTGCTCCCTCCCTGCTGCTCCCTCCCTGTTGCTTCCTCCCTGCTGCTTCCTCCATGCTGCTCCCTCCCTGTTGCTTCCTCCCTGCTGCTTCCTCCCTGCTGCTCCCTCCCTGATGCAACCTCCCTTCTGCTCCCTCCCTGCTGCTCCCTCCCTGTTGCTTCCTCCCTGCTGCTTCCTCCATGCTGCTCCCTCCCTGTTGCTTCCTCCCTGCTGCTTCCTCCCTGCTGCTCCCTCCCTGATGCAACCTCCCTTCTGCTCCCTCCCTGCTGCTCCCTCCCTGATGCTTCCTCCCTGCTGCTCCCTCCCTGCTGCTTCCTCCCTGCTGCTCCCTCCCTGATGCAACCTCCCTTCTGCTCCCTCCCTGCTGCTCCCTCCCTGCTGCTTCCTCCCTGCTGCTCCCTCCCTGATGCTTCCTCCCTGCTGCTCCCTCCCTGCTGCTTCCTCCCTGCTGCTCCCTCCCTGATGCAACCTCCCTTCTGCTCCCTCCCTGCTGCTCCCTCCCTGCTGCTTCCTCCCTGCTGCTCCCTCCCTGTTGCTTCCTCCCTGCTGCTCCCTCCCTGTTGCTCCCTCCCTGCTGCTCCCTCCCTGATGCAACCTCCCTTCTGCTCCCTCCCTGCTGCTCCCTCCCTGATGCTTCCTCCCTGCTGCTCCCTCCCTGTTGCTTCCTCCCTTCTGCTCCCTCCCTTCTGCTCCCTCCCTGCTGCTTCCTCCCTGCTGCTCCCTCCCTGCTGCTCCCTCCCTGTTGCTTCCTCCCTTCTGCTCCCTCCCTTCTGCTCCCTCCCTGCTGCTTCCTCCCTGCTGCTTCCTCCCTGCTGCTCCCTCCCTGATGCAACCTCCCTTCTGCTCCCTCCCTGCTGCTCCCTCCCTGATGCTTCCTCCCTGCTGCTCCCTCCCTGCTGCTTCCTCCCTTCTGCTCCCTCCCTGCTGCTCCCTCCCTGCTGCTTCCTCCCTGCTGCTCCCTCCCTGCTGCTTCCTCCCTGCTGCTCCCTCCCTATTGCTCCCTCCCTGCTGCTCCCTCCCTGCTGCTTCCTCCCTGCTGCTCCCTCCCTGCTGCTCCCTCCCTGTTGCTTCCTCCCTTCTGCTTCCTCCCTGCTGCTCCCTCCCTGTTGCATCCGCCCTGCTGCTTCCTCCCTGCTGCTCCCTCCCTGATGCAACCTCCCTTCTGCTCCCTCCCTGCTGCTCCCTCCCTGATGCTTCCTCCCTGCTGCTCCCTCCCTGCTGCTTCCTCCCTGCTGCTCCCTCCCTGATGCAACCTCCCTTCTGCTCCCTCCCTGCTGCTCCCTCCCTGTTGCTTCCTCCCTGCTGCTCCCTCCCTGATGCAACCTCCCTTCTGCTCCCTCCCTGATGCAACCTCCCTTCTGCTCCCTCCATGCTGCTCCCTCCCTGCTTCTTCCTCCCTGCTGCTCCCTCCATGCTGCTCCCTCCCTGCTTCTTCCTCCCTGCTGCTCCCTCCCTGCTGCTTCCTCCCTGCTGCTCCCTCCTTGCTGCTCCCTCCCTGCTGCTTCCTCCCTGCTGCTTCCTCCCTGCTGCTTCCTCCATGCTGCTCCCTCCCTGTTGCTTCCTCCCTGCTGCTTCCTCCCTGCTGCTCCCTCCCTGATGCAACCTCCTGCTGCTTCCTCCCTGCTGCTCCCTCCTTGCTGCTTCCTCCCTGCTGCTTCCTCCCTGCTGCTTCCTCCCTGCTGCTTCCTCCATGCTGCTCCCTCCCTGTTGCTTCCTCCCTGCTGCTTCCTCCCTGCTGCTCCCTCCCTGCTGCAACCTCCCTTCTGCTTCCTCCCTGCTGCTCCCTCCCTGCTGCTCGCTCCCTGCTGCTTCCTCCCTGCTGCTCCTCCCCCTTTTCTCTCTAGATCGGTCCTGCCGCCACCCTCTCTGCCGGATTGCGGGGCTGTGGTCTGGGCCTATACTCCTCGAACCCTGACTCATGGACGAACAAGCCGAAAGTTCCCCACCTGAACCCCTTCATCCGTGCGTTGTAGACAGGATTGACCTGGCTAAAATGATCCCTCACCACCCGTCGAACCACGTCGCGGATGCTTGTCACCCACTTCGTGTAATTTCGGTGGGAGTTGGTGAGGTTCATCGTTGACTTCTTAATCTTCGACAGACCGTAGTCAATCTGCATTGTTGGGACTAGGAACCATGGGCGCAGAGAATTAACAGTAAATCACAGGGGAGTGGGCGCAGCTCATTGAGGGGAGGGGAAAACAGGGGAGTGGGCGTAGCTCATTGAGGGAAGGGGAAAACAGGGGAGTGGGCGCAGCTCATTGAGGGAAGGGGAAAACAGGGGAGTGGGCGCAGCTCATTGAGGGAAGGGGAAAACAGGGGAGTGGGCGCAGCTCATTGAGGGGAGGGGAAAACAGGGGGTCACAATAACAAACCACTCACCACCATGATAGTCCAGGCGATGTGATACGCCTTCAAGCACAAGTCGTCTCCCACGCTGAATTCTCCGAAAGCATCCATAGCTGCGTTGAAGAAGATGTCATTGCCAAACGGGAGGCCACCATCCTCAGCATTCCCCCATGTGCTCAGGGGGTCGTCCACGCCTGCGACACGCTCGAACAAGGATGGTAAAGAGAGTGGTTGGACGGGTGGAACTCGAGTATTAAGATGGACTATGTGAGCCAACGCCAAGTTGAGAAGAGAGTGAGATGGGGTGGTGAAAGATTGGATGGGGTGATTGTGGATGAGAGGGGGGGAGGGGGGGGAAGAGTTGCGGTTCACTCACTCGGGCAATGAGTTTTCCAGAGATCCTCCTTCACTTTCACATCGACGTGAATTTCCGCCGCGCGCAGCCCGCACATAGCAACCCCTAAGCCCTCAAGTACGGTTCTTTTTATGTAAAAACCGCGCTCATTCTTCCATTGAGTCCATACGCGCTTGAACGAATCACGCCGTGTTTTATCCCCCATGGCCTCTTTCAGCAAAATGAAGGACACGATGTAATTTTCGGAGATGACCTCGTGCAGAACCCGCATACGCTTCTCAAAGGATGGGTAGAATGTAATGACACGATCTTCAGCTTCCATGCACATCCGGTTCCGGGAATCTTCCATGTAGAACTGGTCAAGAGTGATGGGAAACCAGAGAATTGAGTGCAAGGCATGCAGTCAAGGGAAAACAGAGAATGTGAGGGATGAAAAGCATTGCAGTGATGGGAAACCAGAGAATGTATGTGGTGCAAGGATGCAGTGACGGGAAACCAGAAACTGTGTGCGGTGCAAGGGAGGGATGCAGCGACGGGAAACCAGAAAATGTGTGCGGTGCAAGGGAGGGATGCAGCGACGGGAAACCAGAAAATGTGTGCGGTGCAAGGGAGGGATGCAGCGACGGGAAACCAGAAAATGTGTGCGGTGCAAGGGAGGGATGCAGCGACGGGAAACCAGAAAATGTGTGCGGTGCAAGGGAGGGATGCAGCGACGGGAAACCAGAAACTGTGTGCGGTGCAAGGGAGGGATGCAGGGACGGGAAACCAGAAAATGTGTGCGGTGCAAGGGAGGGATGCAGCGACGGGAAACCAGAAAATGTGTGCGGTGCAAGGGAGGGATGCAGCGACGTGAAACCAGAAACTGTGTGCGGTGCAAGGGAGGGATGCAGCGACGGGAAACCAGAAACTGTGTGCGGTGCAAGGGAGGGATGCAGCGACGGGAAACCAGAAACTGTGTGCGGTGCAAGGGAGGGATGCAGGGACAGCAAACCAGAAAATGTGTGCGGTGCAAGGGAGGCATGCAGTGACGGGAAACCAGAAAATGTGTGCGGTGCAAGGGAGGGATGCAGTGACGGGAAACCAGAAAATGTGTGCGGTGCAAGGGAGGGATGCAGTGACGGGAAACCAGAAAATGTGTGCGATGCAAGGGTGGGATGCAGTGACGGGAAACCGGAGACGGTGCAAGGCATGCAGTCAAGGGAAACTAGTAACTAACCCTCAGATTGGTGGCATTCGGCATGCCGTGCCTCCGTGCAATGGGAACGTCTTGTACAGCGCTCTCCGCCACAACGGGAGGCGCATCGGGCTGCGATGGCAGCTCACTGGAGATCGAGGTAAGAGGAGGTATTTGCGTGCCGTTGCCGCCCCCGTTTCCTGAAAGACCGCGACCCGCCTTTAGCTCTGCAATCTGCCGATTGGCATCCTGCAAAGCTTTAAAAAGTTGTTGCATGGAAGCATCAGGTGAACTGTCTAAGGGACTTAGGGGCACACCGGTCGCGCTGTCGGGCTTGGAACTGTATCTCGCCGGATCTGACGGGCCTGCAGTCGCAGGGTCTGAAGTTCCAGCCTTCTCTTCGTCCATCCCCCAAGCACCAAACCCACCAGCATCACGATCTTTCACCCATTGCCCCCCTGCACTTGCCGGATCATCACCACCACTTGCCTCACGAGTAATGTTGTGCTGAAGATCAACCTCCGCTTCCACGCTACGATCAGGAAACCGTGATGCACTCCTTCCCAGTCCAGACCCAGAGGCGAGGGCAGTATATGGATCGTTCGATGCTGCCAATTTCCCCCTACGAATGTTCTCCCTACGGTTCTCCTGACCTGCATCTTCAGAGCTCCCCAAGGTCCGCATCTCATGGTAGAATCCGAGGTTCCTTCCTACGGGAGGACGCTCCTTACCCACCCGCGTAGGCACCCCATGAGTAGCGTGCTTCCCTTGAGCACGCGAGCGATGTTTCTGCCTCTTACGCCCTTTGCTCGCTTTATTTCTGTGCGCATGCCCACGCTTTCCGCCCGAGCGGCCTCTACCTGCCCGTGCCCTCCGCCCTCTCATATCTTCGTCATCACTCTCGGACACCGATTCATCGTCCTCACTTTCTTCATCCTCGTCGTACCTCTCCTCACTCCCGGAGGAGCTCCCCGATTCCTCATCCGAGCTGTCCTCGCCTTCGGAAGATTCCTCCTTGACAGGGGCTTTCTTTCCAGCCCTGCGTCGCCGTGACTTCACTCTCCCTGACACCCCCCTCTGATCCTCCATCTCCCCGCCACAGCTCTCTCTCCCACTCCCCCCATGCCCACGAACATTCTCTGCACCATCCGGTCGAGCACCTGCTGGAGTAGAGGGAGAAGATGCATCACGATTCACATCACGCTCTCCCTCACGCTCGCCCTCACGCTCGCCCTCACGCTCTCCCTCACGCTCTCCCTCACGCTCTCCCTCACGCTCTCGCTCACGCTCTCCCTCACGCTCTTCCTCACGCTCTTCCTCACGCTCTTCCTCACGACTCCCCTCACGCCTCCCCTCACGCTTGCCCTCACGCCTGCCCTCACGCCTGCCCTCACGCTCTCCCCCACGCTCATCCTCACGCTTATGCCCTTTCACTGGCAGTGGCTCCTCGTAGTCTACGTCTTCTATCTGTCCAGTTGCCCCATCCGCGTCTTGTTTTCCTTTTTTCTTTTTCTTGGAACCGACGGTACCTACAACACGCATCAAGTAAGGACGAAATGCTCACACGATATGAGGGCAGCACCTCTATGTATTGGGTGCGAACACAAGCAGGCTTTTACCGAGCAACTTACAAACATGCAGAGAAGAAAAAAAGATATAAAACCTGGATGCGTACCTTTCCTCCCTGTATCAGCTTTGAATTGGTCCAACTGCTTCAGCTTAGGAGCGTGCCTCCGCCCGCTTGAACCGCCGCGACTAAGTTTGCCGGCGTATGGCACGTCCCCAGAATGCTCACTATCCGATGAATGTTCCCCTCCCGACACCTCGGCATCGCGCGCAGTAGACTTGTTCTTCCGACGATACCTCACAACTAGCTGAGAGGTATTAAGAGGTGTCATCTTGTCATGCAGCCTCTGTTCCGCATCGGTTTTGGCGTCGCCCAAGGTTTGTAAAGCTCCAGCTGCATCGATGAGGTCACAAGCATTGGCCTGGTGATTGAGACCGCCGTTGTCCGCCATGTTTCTAGCAATGCAGCTAAACCTGCCCGATTTACGTTATATAGCTGAGGAGTGCATACCTAAGGATTATAAGCTCCTCCAATAGGTATTCGAGCAGCTAGGAAAAGAATCGCGCACGCTGGACGTGCATGCGAGCAATGCAGCGCGCAATAGCAGTACGTGCCCGCGAATCGCTCCAACGGAAGTTGTGCAACTAAAACAGCAGCGCGCCATCGCAGGCCGCGCCGTTCGAGACCATCCCATGCGCACCATATCAGGACGTGCCTACTACGAGAACAGGCGTTTCGAAATGGCTAAACGTGCCTAAAACTGGCAGAAATGCACATTTGCGCCAGGTGGTGGAGGTACCGTGACATTGACTAACAGGTAGAAGGAGCTGGACGTGCCTACCTACCGTTGGAAGGTATCGTGAGGAGACCAGCGAATGGTACCAGCAAGACGCCCTCTGTGCTTCGAACGCGGAGGGTAACGTGGTCTCAACTAACGCTTCGAGACTAGGCATCAAAGATGCATGCTCCTGTAACGAAATGCCCAATGAGGCACCTCGCGATGGGGTTTGGTGCTGGGATATGGGAAACACAGAGCAACAGTTCAGCTGCCCTTGAAGTTGCAAGGAACGCGCAGGCAGTATATCAGTGCTTACGAACCTAGGTTCTAGCACCTACTTACGAGATAAAGTCTGTTGGCCAGCCGTGCTATGTCTGCCATAAGCTCAGGATACTAAGTAATTTCGAGCAAGGGAACGGGAATCGAACATCCCTGCCGCAAAACAAAGGGAAACAAAAAATCGAATGTGACAACAGCAAATCGGCACCGCGTTTTCCATCAACATTGCAGGTCGGGAACCGTGATCTGTAAAAGCCATCGCGGTTCGAGAATCTCTCCTGGTTGTGTTGAAACGTCATTTTGGCGCATCAATCCGTTTAGACGTGCAGTCACGGGTGTGTTGATAGAATAGTTAAAAGTTGAAATACTGTTATACTGTTATCCTTACACATTGAGGTGATTCTGAGCAGCAATTGTCCTCATACAGTGTGGTCTGTGTGCAGCCTTGTCGGCCCTTACATCAATAAGTTCATGCATCCGCAGTTCCAAATTTTAATCCAGGACCGGACAATCTTCCCATAACAGCAGCGACTTCACCAAGCACAAATCCTAGCAGCGTACATCAAACACATTGTGTTGTGTGTAACTGTTGAGTGAAAGCACAGTTCACAACACATCAGCAACTGCCATAAAGTGCATCGAGTTTTCAGCCATAGGGAGAGAGGGAAGCTGCAGAGTCTCCTCTCCTCATTACTGTGTTACGGTATTGGGCCGATCCAGAGCACCCACACTATCACGTTGAGTTGTATGTGATATTCAACTGCACCATGCTAAGTAGCTGTTCCAACCCCTCATTCAGCTCATCATCAGCCTACTCATCGTGTTTAGTATGACCCCAACCTGCCATTCCATGGGCATTGACACCAAGGTTGAGTTGGTAAGAGCTTACAAAATGGAGCAACTCAAGTACCGCCTGGCTATGCAATTCTACAACAAACATCAATCAATACAACGATCATCAGTAGCACATTCATGTCACTAACCAACAGCGACCAGGCTAAGGAGCATCAATCAGCCTGTATAGTGGCACAAGCACCTTCATAGACACAGGACCACTTTGCCAAATCATGACGATATTGGCGCCTCCACTGTCTTGGCGTCCCAGCCAAGTTACACGCATTCATCCTGCCGAACCTGCTCTCGACAAGCGTATGAATCACACGTATGAACCTGTCTTGCTGACGCACCTGCAAAGCACACTCGGAGTGGATGGTACTTGTATTATGCACAATCATGCACAGCCTACTCCACCTCCCCTCTATCATCTACACAACCGCGCAACCCATGCACGGCCATGCGCAGCCCACTCCTCCCCCTCCCTGCTGTTCAGGGCATCACCCGCCTGGCCATGCGCAGCCCACTCCTCCCCCTCCCTGCTGTTCAGGGCATCACCCGCCTGGCCATGTGCAGCCCACTCCTCCCCCTCCCTGCTGTTCAGGGCATCACCCGCCTGGCCATGCGCAGCCCACTCCTCCCCCTCCCTGCTGTTCAGGGCATCACCCGCCTGGCCATGTGCAGCCCACTCCTCCCCCTCCGCAACACGTCAGCGCTTCACTCGCCTGTCCATGCAAACCTACTCTCCCACTCCCTTACCCATCCGCGCATCCCACGCCTATCCATGCACAACCTACTCTCCCACTCCCTTACCCATCCGCGCATCCCATGCCTGCCGTCTCTCCCACTCCCTTACCCATCCGCGCATCCCACGCCTGTCCATGCACAACCTACTCTCCCACTCCCTTACCCATCCGCGCATCCCACGCCTATCCATGCACAACCTACTCTCCCACTCCCTTACCCATCCGCGCATCCCACGCCTGCCGTCTCTCCCACTCCCTTACCCATCCGCGCATCCCACGCCTGCCGCTGCGCGGCCTATATCACACATGATTCCTCCACTCATCCGGCTATCCCATGCGCGTACCTCGATGACGTTTAACTGGATCGCGTCAGCCCACGATTTTGCTTCTGTCTCCGTGACCCATGCGTAGCGCTTCATGACGTTTGTCATCAAACATCTGCGCATTGGGATGAATTTGTAGTTAGGATCAGACCGCAAGATACAAGTTTAATAAGCTTCACGAGTAACTCACTTTCTTAATGGACCATCGATGTCGTCGTGACTGCCATATGAGTCCGCATGCCACAATACACAGTTGATCGGGATCAGAGATCCTGGAGCATGGTTGATTTCGATGACTACAAGGCTCCAGTGCGCACTGCATTATCGAGTCATTCAAAGATCATTAGCTTGCAGCAACCTTGATCGTATGAATCATGCAAAGAATTGCCCGAGCACATACTCCTTGTTAATCGGAACAAGCACGTGTTTGAACGATAAGATGTCGAGCCCATATGCCAGCCTAGTGATTCTCTTAGATTCCGGCCGCGCGACGAGGGTCCAGAAATACGGCGATGTGCAAAGCCACTCAGCATTTTCGAGTCCGTTCTCATAGTGTAACATCCTGCGGGAACGCCATGGAAATGTGGAAACTCGCGGTAGCTTGTGAGTAAGTTTGAACAAGGTGCCGCCATGTCTCAAACTTTTGCGTTTTAAACAACTCACGATGATAGCCACTCGATAACCGTGCCACTGATCCACTGCTCGTTTCCCAACGTGCGGTAATTTGAGGGGTAGATTTCAAGCCACCCGCCCCCAAACGGGGAGGGCATGCTCATCTGCTGGAAACTACATCGCGATAACTTGGGTATGTCCTCTTCCGCCATTCCTTAACCCAGCAAACTCTAGCGAGGAGTAGGATTCTGCGCTAGGCGAGTGTTGAAATTTCCTTGGCAAGCTTGTAAGCCGGAAAATCACCAGGGACATTCGTTACCGAGGCGAGAAGCACCCATCAGGCGTCCCATTTGTTCGCTTACTACACAACTTCCTATTGCACAGCTCGTGCAGTCTTCCATTCTCCAAACGGTGTCGTTGGGTAGCGGGGCTTTGGTTTTGTTGGGACTTGGTGAAAAGTGTTGCGCCGCCTGACATGAAACTCTGCTCCAATGACAGTGTAGCGGCTTGATGTTGGCTGACACGAATGACATCATTCACTGAAAATGAAAATGATGTCAGACAGTGAACCATTCTGTCAAAACGTAGAGGGCGTGAGATGTAATTAGTCACTGACGGATTATGGATCGAGATGTGTCACAAAATGGTAGTTTGTGGCAAGTAACCTATCCTCCGATTGGGCGAATGTTTGAGCCAATGTTGCAAACTGAAACGACACGCGCCAATTTGTTTCCTGAAACACGGCGCACCCAGGCATGGCAAATTGCATCCAGACTTTCCCAGCTTACGGGAAATGCTGTGACGCTTCGCGCTCTCGCCCAAGGGCGCGATTTGTCGCGCACCAATGAGCACCGACGCAAACACTTCAGGCAGTACGTAACGAACCGTCACCACCAATCGCTCACCAGTTACTGACACTGGATGGCCAATCGCCAATCTGACCCACCCAAAACACGGATCAAGCAACTCCGATCACCCATCCCTCTTGGCGCAGATATTTGTTCCTCGACCAAACCTAATATATCGCCACTACGATCAACGCTACCCTTGTGTGACTTGCTAAACAGCTCAAACTGGTGTTGCTGAACACCATTCACTCCTAGGTAAACTTGATTTGGCCAATGGAGGCCCAGGCATGCGAGTTCTGTAAAAAACGCGTGTACTGTTATCAATCAGTAGCAAGTCATCAAGCTAACCATGATGGTTGTAAGCGGGCCCAACGGGCCAAGGCTCAAGAGATTGCTAAACGAAAGAAACTGGGTCGTGCAGCGGAGCAGCATTATAGATTTGTCCCGCTGGCAAGAGCCACACTACCCGCGCCACATCGGTCGATTCCCTTAGCAACAGGCCCGAATGCAGTCGAGAAGCATCCGCTGCAGGCAGAGCGAGTTCCCGATGCAGTCCCTACAAGTAGCACCACCCTGGTGGGGGAAGAGGCTCCTACGGAGGAGGTTCTTGATGTTAAAGCTGAAATCTGCATCTTGGCACGCTCTCACGGCCTTACCAACGCGGCGATAAACGACACGATACAGTTAGTTAGACATCCGAAATTAGATCCAAAGCAACTCGACGATTGGAACAGCTACAGAGACCTGGAGAAGTACGAGCGGGACTTTGACCTTGGAGCGGAGAACGAGTGGATCGTCGAGGAGATCCCAGTGGATCACGAGATTGGGTTTCTCATATTCAAACGCCGAAACGCCATAACTGTGAGTGCCTCGCTGGTGCGCTGTCACGTATCACTCACGAGTTGGGTTGTGTGCTTAGTGATGACGATCAAATCTTCCGACCAATGGATGCATCAATCCTTCACCTCTGTTCTCCATCTTTGTTTCCTTATTGATAACCATCAGCTCCTCCAGGCCATGTTTAAGAAGATGTCAGCTGTCAAGGGATTCGCCATCATGCCTCAAGAGTGGAAGGTTGATGGGGTTCACCGCTATAGTACCCCTGCAAACACGGACTGGATGCTGGAGGCTTGGGTAAGTTCGGTTCCAGCTCATGTCGTGTCGGACACGAGCGTCGAAACCTAGGATCCAATACATCTTTCCTTCACTTTCTCATTCACTGTGGCAGGATAGGGTGCGGAAGTATGGCATAGTTATAGCGCTCATTCTGTTCTCGGATCAGACCAATCTATCATACAACGGGCGCCAATCTGCCCACCCATTTCTGCTGTCCTTTGGGAACATTCCGGAATGGGCTAGGTGGCTCGAAGGAAGCACTGAGCTTCTCGGGCTTCTGCCTCATATCCCAGCTGACCTCTCGCCGGAAGAAAAGGTTCGAGTGTTCCAGCGCGCTGCAGAGATCATGATTCAAGATTTTATAGGCGGCTTCACATCTGCAAGGGTGAGTCAACACTACTGTCACCCAAAGGTGACATCATTAGCCTTCTGGTTTTGGGTTAAACCCGCCACGCCGTCACGACTCCACCCCACTACCCTTCTGATATTCTTTCCCTGAGTCATACCCTCACCGCTCCCTTTTTTGACCCTCGTTCTCATCTGGTCCTCCTTTGCATGCGTGTCACAACGCTGTATTCAGTCATAACTTCCCTGCCACCAATGCTTCACCGGTTACCATTCCGATTCCACCTGTACATGCATGCTTTGCCACCGTCATGTTAATGCCTTCCCTGCTTGCTGTCCCCATCTTCCTAACCGTTCTTCATCTGCTTGCTTAGGGCCGCCCGTGCTCACTCCGTTACTCACATCTGTGACGTGTTCTCCCATCATCCCCCCTCTACCTCCCTGTTTCCGCCTCCTTCCTTGGCGGCTGTGTAGGGGCGGGGTGATGGTGGAAGACAGTGCCGGTGTGCAATATAGAGCATTCACGCTTCTATATTCATGGGTGACAGATCACCCGGAGTCTTCTAAGGTCACATGTACGATGGCATGCAACTCGCTCCATCCGTGCTCGTTGTGCTTGGCTGATAAGGAGCACTTGGATGAGATGACTGTTGAGTTGACTCAAACGCCACCTGATAAGGAGTGCCTGGATGAGCAGGAAGACACCATCGTCCTCAGAACTGTCAAGAGTCAGCAGGATGCGTACAAGGAGATGAAATCAGCGGAAACCAAAAAGAAGCTGAAGGCGGTGAAGAAGAAGACCTCTACTCACTTTGTGAAGGTAAGCCTTGCCCAGCTTGTTCCGCATGCCTCGCCGATGTTCTCATCCGGTTTTTCTCCATGTCGACCATATACTGCACTGGCTAGTGTGCCTGAAAACCTACTCCAATCCGCAGCCAGTTGTTTGTGTTTATTACTCCGACCCGCCATAGTGACGTTGTGTCCTTGACCCACAACGCAGAGCCTTTTGTGGGACTGGGGATTCGCAAAGACTCTCTGGGGCAACACGTACCTTGCTGTGCCCCCGGACATCATGCACATCTGGGAGCAGGGCATATGGCTGCATGCCATGAAGTGCCTTGTGAAGAAGCTGACTCCGAAGGAACGGAAGATTCTTCTGGAGTGAGTTGTTCCGCGCCTTGCTGAACTGTTCCTCCCCTCCTTCGCTGCTTTCCGCGCCTTGCTGAACTGTTCCTCCCCTCCTTCCCTGCTTTCCGCGCCTTGCTGAACTGTTCCTCCCCTCCTTCCCTGCTTTCCGCGCCTTGCTGAACTGTTCCTCCCCTCCTTCGTTGCTTTCCGCGCCTTGCTGAACTGTTCCTCCCCTCCTTCCCTGCTTTCTGCGCCTTGCTGAACTGTTCCTCCCCTCCTTCCCTGCTTTCCGCGCATTGCTGAACTGTTCCTCCCCTCCTTCCCTGCTTTCCGCGCCTTGCTGAACTGTTCCTCCCCTCCTTCGTTGCTTTCCGCGCCTTGCTGAACTGTTCCTCCCCTCCTTCCCTGCTTTCTGCGCCTTGCTGAACTGTTCCTCCCCTCCTTCCCTGCTTTCTGCGCCTTGCTGAACTGTTCCTCCCCTCCTTCCCTGCTTTCCGCGCATTGCTGAACTGTTCCTCCCCTCCTTCCCTGCTTTCCGTGCCTTGCTGAACTGTTCCTCCCCTCCTTCGCTGCTTTCCGCGCCTTGCTGAACTGTTCCTCCCCTCTAGGCGATACAAGATGTTGAAGGAGGTCACACCAGCATCCGTGCTCCGTCTGCCATCGGCGTGGGCCTACTTCACATCCACTGCCTGCTTTTCAGCTTCAGAGCATCGTGCGATGATGCAGGTCCTGCCTCTCATCATCGATCTCCCAGGACGGAAAGATGTCCGGACGGCAATCGTGCTCATGGTCGAGTGGTATAAGGAGTTCATTCGCGCTGAGTATCACACCGACGATTCCCTGAAATGGATGAAAGACGCCACCATCAGGTGGTTACTCTTATTGTTGTGTCGGTTCCAAGCCATTCATTACCACATACACCCATTTTCCTTGTTTCAACCGTGCCACCATGCTCCACCCCCCCCTCTTTCATCTTGTTTTAACCCCTTGCATCCTTGTTCTTCCATACCCCACCTGCTTGACCTCCCTCCTGCCCTTTTTTCCCCTTGACTGCATGCTTCCTCACCCCCCCTCCCTCGTGCCGTTTCTCCCTTACTGGCCTGCATTCCACCCCTTAACTGCATGCATGCTCTCGACTGTCTCTCCCCAGCATGGTGAAGGCTCTGCGTGTTGCATTCCCTAAGCAGAAGTCAAAGTGGAAAATAGTGAAGATTCATCTCCTCGTTCACCTCCCATCAACCATCCGTCTTCGGGGAATCCCTGCCGAGTACTCGTCGAACTGTTACGAGCACTCTCACAAGACCACTGTGAAGCGTCCTTCACGTGGCACAAACTGGAAGAATGTTGAAGATCGCATCGTTCGGAAACACCTGGAGCATGCGGTAGTTAGACAACTAGCGCGGGAGGCCGGCGGGGACAACACGTACGAGACTTCGATGAAAGAGGTAATTTATAGAATGTCCCCCTTGCTCTGTTCCCCTGCACACCTTCCTCTACTTTGTTTCCCTGCTCTGGTAATCCCTGTATGGTTCTTTTGCTCTGTTCCCTTCACTGTTTCCCCTGATCTGTTTCAGTGCTCGCCTCTCTTGCTCCGTTCCCCTGCTCTGTTCCCCTAGTCATTTCCCCTTCCCTGTTCCCTCCTCTGTGCCCTGCTCTGTTTTCCCTGCCCTGTTGTCTGCCTTGTTTGCCCTGCTCTGTTCCGTTCTCTATTTGCCCTCCTCTGTTCCCTGCTCTGTTTCTCTCTATGTTCCCCTGACATGTTTCCCCCCCGAATTTCCCTGTTCTCTGCTTAAGTTGGCATTCAGATATAGGCCCAGCCGAAACTTCAGTGATCAAATCCTACCCCCCCATCCCCTTCTTTGTCCCCACAAACTCGGCCCCTTTCCCCCACCCCCATTTCCCCCACCCCCATTTCCCCCACCCCCATTTCCCCCCTTCCCTGGCCGTCTCCTTCTCCCCTGCATCCATCCCCTTTCCCCCCCTCCTTCACCCTCCTCAACCCACACCATTCACCCCACCCCATCCCCATCCAAACCCTCTTCTCACCATGGTGACAGGCATGCCGGGCCGGCCGGAGGGTGCTTACAAAGACCCACAAGAGGATGGTCATTGGGGACATCACCGACTCGGTGTTTCGGAGCTACGTCTTGACGCTGGGTGAACCCGCCATGAGTGCGATGGTTCTGCGCCTAAAAAAGGCGGGCATCGACACGGAAGTCTTGCAGGTGCTTCCCACCCCCTCCAACCCTCGTTCCCCCTCTCCTGCTTGCTTCCCACCCCCTCCAACCCTCGTTCCCCCTCTCCTGCTTGCTTCCCACCCCCTCCAACCCTCGTTCCCCCTCTCCTGCTTCCTTCCCACCCCCTCCAACCCTCGTTCCCCCTCTCTTGCTTGCTTCCCACCCCCTCCAACCCTCGTTCCCCCTCTCCTGCTTGCTTCCCACCCCCTCCAACCCTCGTTCCCCCTCTCCTGCTTGCTTCCCACCCCCTCCAACCCTCGTTCCCCCTCTCCTGCTTGCTTCCCACCCCCTCCAACCCTCGTTCCCCCTCTCCTGCTTGCTTCCCACCCCCTCCAACCCTCGTTCCCCCTCTCCTGCTTCCTTCCCACCCCCTCCAACCCTCGTTCCACCTCTCCAGCTTGCTTCCCACCCCCTCCAACCCTCGTTCCCCCTCTCCTGCTTGCTTCCCACCCCCTCCAACCCTCGTTCCCCCTCTCCTGCTTGCTTCCCACCCCCTCCAACCCTCGTTCCCCCTCTCCTGCTTGCTTCCCACCCCCTCCAACCCTCGTTCCCCCTCTCCTGCTTGCTTCCCACCCCCTCCAACCCTCGTTCCCCCTCTCCTGCTTGCTTCCCACCCCCTCCAACCCTCGTTCCCCCTCTCCTGCTTGCTTCCCACCCCCTCCAACCCTCGTTCCCCCTCTCCTGCTTGCTTCCCACCCCCTCCAACCCTCGTTCCCCCTCTCCTGCTTGCTTCCCACCCCCTCCAACCCTCGTTCCCCCTCTCCTGCTTGCTTCCCACCCCCTCCAACCCTCGTTCCCCCTCTCCTGCTTGCTTCCCACCCCCTCCAACCCTCGTTCCCCCTCTCCTGCTTCCTTCCCACCCCCTCCAACCCTCGTTCCCCCTCTCCTGCTTGCTTCCCACCCCCTCCAACCCTCGTTCCCCCTCTCCTGCTTGCTTCCCACCCCCTCCAACCCTCGTTCCCCCTCTCCAGTTTCCTTCCCACCCCCTCCCAACCCTCGTTCCCCCTCTCCAGCTTGCTTTCCACCCAATCCTTGGCCAATTCCCCCTTTTCCTTATGCTCTCCACCCCCTCTTTCCCTGCTTTCCCATTTGCTTTGTACAATGCTCGTGGTGTCAGGTGCACACAGCACTTGCGATTCCGCCACACGACAAGATGGAATGGACGTCACGGGGGCAGTTTGTCAAGGCTAGCCCAGCCGAGAAGAACTTCTCGGCGATCGCGATCAACCCTGCAGGGAAGGGTTCCCCGTGGTATGGCCGTTGCCTTGTGCTGTTTCATTACAACAAGGGTGGTGAGCTGAGGCGAGGCGCATATGTGGAGTACTACACCGAAGACAAGCGTCAATGCCCGTCGACGGGATGCAAGCGTCTTCTACCCACAGAAGGCGTTGATAATTATGCCGTGATCGATGTAGACTGCATTCTTAGTCTCGTACACGTTGTACCCTCGTGCGAGGACGATGAAGTGAGCCTCCTCAACAGATTTGTATGGTGAGGTCTTGCAATCGTCATGAAGTTTGACCCAATGTGACTTTGGCAAACGTTGATTTTGATCCTAGAATATTGATATGTTTAGGCATTTCTTTGATATAATAGGCGCAAAATTAATAACCACTGTTTAAATATGACTCTTGGAAACACATGTTCCCTAGTGGAATCTTCAAATTCAGAGAATTATCTTCAAATGTCTTGATGGGAACAAACAATGCACAGAAGTAAAAACGAGACATTTATATCGAGAACAAATTTACAGCACACTTCTTCCAAGCGACGAGACCAGCTCCAACCCCTCTTGGTCGCGAAACCCTAATGCTGCAGCAACAGGCAAGAAACATTGAGCGGAAACATACGATTAGTGTCTCGAAAACGTCTCAAGAGGGACAAACGTTTTTTGTAGGTTTTCTGTACGTTTTTCAAACGTTTGTCAAACCTACGATCGGCCGGTGGGAACGTCAGATGATTTTCAGACACACACATTTTTGTGATGAAATATATTTATTTAACGAGGGAAAATATATGCCAAAGCCAGAAAACATTGCTGAACGTTCAGCAACTACTCTAGCGTGACATGCTTTCTGCTTGCAAAGTCCGTCTGTTTTCTAATAAAAAGCTAGAAGCAGCTACTAAAAAAGAAATAGTTAGAGCCAAGACTAACATGCAGTTGCTACACCACTCGGCCAGGGCTCGTCAGCGTAGTACGTTGAGAAGCTGTCCATTCGACATCATGGGCGGAGTTGCTTGTCTTGATCCATGTTGGCCATTGTGGACGAGTCATGACAGTCTTCCCCTTCTTCCTGCCTTTCCGCCCCCCAGTGCAAGCGCTTCTTGCCCAGGACAAAGCATGGGGTTTCTGGGGGAACAACGCTGCAAACGCGTTCTGTGACGAGTGGGAGAGAACCGGAGAATCGATTGGCCATGGGCAAATCGGCAGTTATGGGACTGTGACGTGTGACCCACAGGGCATGGTTTCCGACCTGTGAGCTCTGTGATGAGATGTGCGCTTTGGAAAAGGAGTAGAGGGTGCAGGGGGGAAGGAGGAAGTGAGGTGGGGTTGATCGGGGGAGGGAAGGCCAAGCGTACTTTGCTTTCCATACCAGCGCAGCAGGCACTGGTCAAGCTGCTGGCTGGCAGCATTGCCACCGATTTCATTGAAACCATACAGGCCTTTTTTTTGTCATTTGCATTGCATTGCAAAAATCATATGCTCCGTGTAGGCTTGCATTGGAATACAATACTGATTCATCTGGAGTCGTGCCGGCAGCCATCACAGCCATCACTCTGTCAGTGCAGACCACTGCTGGGATGGAGGCACCGGGATGGCTGTAAGGGTAGTAGAAATGATCACATGGGTTGTTTTGTGGGTGCGCTGAACCACCACTTCAAACACGTGTGTTGTAGAAGAGTCCTTCAATCCCACACAGTCGGGAATATCCCACATATCTATTGCTTTCGTCACTCAATACTCGATAATAATTATCCGACATTTGCGCACCAATCTTGAGATTCCCTTAGGCCTTTCATACAGTCACCCTACCTTCTTGCGTTGCATGCCTCTCTGCAAGGAACTGTATCTGCCTGGCCACACTGGAAGCTTGGAGATTCTCGGCTCTTCCCCCAAATTGCAATATGTGTACGCATCTATTTCCGCTCCACCTTGCTCCTTCTCGCTTCGAAATGCATGCTCTCATTACCTTGTTCTACGTCATTCTGTCCGCTCCCACCGCCCTCTCCCACATATGAGCTGTGCCTACCCCACCCACTTGCTTGCCATGGCACACGACAGAGATCTAAGCGGCACCGCCTTCAATGGATCTATCCCTGAGTCCATCGGCAATGCCACAAGTCTGCAGCACCTGTGAGAGGGGGGTCTGGTGCCAGAACATGGAGGGGGCGTGCAGCTGCTGCCTTGGTCAGCCCACGGCAGGGAGGGAACCCGAGCTTCCAGCATATGTGTTCTATTGCAGAGGGGGGCAGTTCGTATCGCAGCTTCTCCGATTTTGTTTTCGTCGAAATAAAGTCTCAACTATTTGCCTGCCACTGCGTATCTCCCCTGGTAACACGTGCTTCTGTGCCCCGATTCGTACGCATCCCATCCCAGTGAGCTCTCAGGCTTGGCTCTCAGTGGAAGTCTCCCTGGCAGCTTCAGTCGCGTCACTGCACTCGAATTCCTGTACCCTCCACCTCTCCTTCCTGAAAACTTCCTTCCTCTTAAAAATCCATTCCCTCCTTCCTAATCCTTTCACATATTCTTCCCAAACTTCCTTCCTCTCTTTCCTTGAACCTCCCCACCTCTCCTCTTCCATCGCCTAGCTGGCAAGCACATCACTTACACCTCGTGTTCGCACATGCTTTATGCGCATTGCTTATGCCTCCATTTCCCAGCCAGCCCCTCCTCCTCGTTCTTTCATGCCGCACCAGTCAGTTGCTACCATGCACATACATCCTTCCCACGAGTTCCCTTTCCTTCCTTCCGCACTAACCCCAACATACAGGCACATTGGGAAGCCGCAGTCGTTGGGCCCCGTTTATCAATACTATAGTGGCGACACAGCAGAGTGAGACTGATAAGGATGACTTGGGGCTCTTGCTGTTGACTGCTGCAACATATTTACAGCGTAACATGGCTACAGAAGAGTGCAGATGATGCTTGGAATGCTCCAGGAAAACACCTTGTGCAGCAGGGCACAGTGCAGCAGGGCAGCTCATCTCATGGGACAGCGCCAGCTGTGTGTTCCTCCGACACGACTCCTTCCTTGCCACCCCTTGGTGCCTTTTATCATCCAAGTTGCTCAATCCCACCCACGTGCGCACTGCTCCATGCACCCACGCACATGGAGTTTCTGCTCCAACCCCTGCTGTCGTGACTGCTGGCTGGACTGCTGCTGCTGTAGCCGCCGTGCAACTACTGCTGCTGTGGCTCTCTCTCACGCCGTGTGCAATCGCAGCCCACAGAAAGTTGACAACTCGCCTCCCTCCCCTCTGCTGTTTGTCTCTCTCGCAGCATTCTCTCAATCCAGTCGCTCATGGGCCCCCCTGTGATGCAAGGCTCCATGGACGACCTCTCGTGTCTCGCCCCACTCACTCGCCTCAAGGACCTGTACGCTGTGCATCCTCCCTACCCGCTTTTCTCTTTCCCACGTCTAATTCATTCGTGCCCGCCCTCGCCCCCCACCCCCCCCCCCCCCCCTCCCCTTTCTCGCACTCATCTCTGCCCGCCCTCCCCTCCCCTCTCACTCATCCGTATCCACCTTCAACTTCCTCTCACTCATTCCTACCCACCTTCCCCTCCCCTCTCACTCATCCCTACTTGCCTTGCCCTCCCCTCTCACTCATCCCTACCTGCCTGCCTCTACCCTCTCACTCACCCCTACCTGCCTTCCGCTCCCCTCTCACTCATCCCTACCTGCCCATCTCCTCCTACTCTGCCAACACTGCTCCTATTCATTGCGCAATGGTCAGTCCAGCAGCATAGTGTATGGAATTTGGTCCCCTTCCAACCCGCAGCATGCTTTTAAGCTGCTCTCCGCCGGCTGCTGTCCCCAGCTCTCCCATTTTCCACACGCCACTTGCCCTTGCTTCAGTCGCAACACACCACTCACTCATATACTCTCTGCTCCCCAACTTTCGTGCGTCCCCTTCACCATGGTCCCTCATCCTCTCTTTTGCACTTTTGAGACGTCTCACCTTAAAACACTTTTATCATGTGACTATGCCTCCCTCTCTGTATGTTATACCCACTTCTCCTCAGCACTCTCACGAGTCTCAACCTGACTGCCGGAGAGCTCCCTTCCTCTTTATCCGCCCTTACTTCACTCTCCCACCTGTAAGTCTTTCTAGTATCTTCCTTCCTGCTCCCACGCTTTATGCATCATTTAGGTATCTACCGAAGCAAACCATGATTTTGGTGTCATTCTTAATGTGTTCTTAGTGAGCACATTGCATATCATAAGCGTATCAAGGGCATGTGCTTGCTCGTCGCATGCATTGCATCCCATAAGCGCATTGCATGTCATAAGCACATTGCATCTCACAAGCGCATTGCATCTCGCAAGCGCATTGCATCTCATAAGCGCATTGCATCTCGTAAGCGCATTGCATCTCGTAAGCGCATTGCATCTCGTAAGCGCATTGCATCTCATAAGCGCATTGCATCTCATAAGCGCATTGCATCTCGTAAGCGCATTGCATCTCATAAGCGCATTGCATCTCGTAAGCGCATTGCATCTCGTAAGGGCATTGCATCTCATAAGCGCATTGCATCTCATAAGCGCGTTGCATGTCATAAGCGCACTGCCTCTCATAAGAGCATTGCCTCTCATAAGAGCAATGCATCTCATAAGCGCATTGCAGTGCATTGCATCTTATGACAGAATTCAAATCAGCAGCAATGAATCCACCTCCTAGTTGCCTGCGTCGATATAGGTGAAGCAAACACAATTCTTTTTCATGGACACATATGCACTCTCACTGAACAATTAAGACATCTCATGGTTGATCCGGCAGGACAGTAGGAACTTGGGGGTGCAGTGACAGCAGTCGCTGCATTGCACTACCATGCCACTGTCCTGTCCACCTCACCTGTCTCTCACCTCCCTTTTCACTGTGTGGCAGTGACCTGAGTTTCCTGCCCATCACCCGCTTTCCGCTAAGGATCGGTTCACTCTCCAACCTCGAGGATTTGTGAGTGGAAGGAACCACGAGCCCCTCGCCGAACCCGGCCACGAATCTAAGCATTTTGTTTCCTGCCTCATCCGCGACCCGCTACAGTCTTGCCACTCGCTCTGCTTGCCTTGTCGCTGCCCATCCGTTGCCAAAGGTTGTTACAACCTGCTCATCCTTGGCTATTTCTAACTGATCTGTGCCGCTTTGGATCAAGCGCTTCTATCTGATACCTTAACTGGGCCACACGTGGCTCATGGCAGAGTCAGCCAGGGCTGTGCATGATGGCTAGAGGGAACGAGTCAGATGTACGTTGATGCCACTTGCATGGCTTCCCACCCATGCCTCCCCACTGATTGGAGTGGTCTGTACCTCCCCCACCCTGCTGCCCGTGACCGCGCAGGGACGTCACCGGCAACTTTAGCCTCCACCGCTCGCAACCATTCCCCACTGGATTGATGGCGCTCACACGGCTGCATCATCTGTGAGTCATCCACCATCTTGGTTTGGCACCTTGTGCTGCTCAGCTCACCGCCCAAAGCCATCCGTTGATAATATTGCCCTCCAAGAAGCACTGCGTCCTCCCCTCCTCTGCCCTTCCATCTTCACATTGCCCAGTAGGGCTCTCGACCCAACTCCCATGCCCACCAGGCACAAGTGCGTGTGCCTGTCCGCTCTCCCCTCTCCTTCCACCTCCAGGCGGGCTGGTCTGAATGGCTTCACTGGATCTATCCCCTCCACCATCTCCGCCCTCACCGCCCTCAATGAATTGTACGCCTCCGCTTCCACCCACTCTCGCCTCCCTCGCAAACGTGACTGACCTGTACGCATCAACTTCCCACCCGTCTCCTCTTCATCTGTCCCCGTCCTTCCACGGGAACCTTATGAAATAGGGAGGGATGTAAAACGATACGCCAAAGCACCAGGCTGTGAGCACCACGGTGTTTCACCAGCTAGACAATGCGCGGTGGGCAAAGCTCTTCCTGTGGCCGTTTCCCACACCGCAGCACCATCTTCTCTACTCTCCTCCTTTGCAATCGCCCCACCAGGCAGCTCAATTTCAACATCTCAGGGAGCATCCCTGCCACCATCACCAACCTCCTTGACCTGCAAGACTTGTAATACCTCACATGTGATCCTCTGATCACCTTAACCATGCCTTCTGACCCAAATCAACGCGCCAACATAGTTTATTTGGGTTGATTCTAGGCGAATTAGTTCCAGGCAACTATGTTGGAAAATACGCGTATGGCGTACGGAACGCGTACGAACTATACGGTATCGTACATACGCGATACGCAAATTTCCAGCGTACAAAAAACCTCGAAATACGGTGCGTCGGGCAGGTTAAAAATTTCTAGGGCAGGGGAAAAACATTTCGGTTGAGGTAGAATGCTTATAGGGAAAGAACTTAAGCAATACTTGATGCGGATAACTCCCGTGGGGTTTACGCCAGTACGAAATTGTTGGCTAGAATCGTCCTAATATTGCGGTTGCTAAGATCTGCAAGTGACGCGACGCCGCTGCTAGCAATAGCAGTAAACTTGGCGTGAGACAAATGAGATTCGCTGTTGTACTCACCTCGATGTGCGAGCAGCTCGTAAGGGAAGGTTGGGTTTGGGAGGTGGTGTGAGGTGATGTGCGGTGGAGGGGAGGGGAGGGGGGCATTCGAGTTTCGAATCTCAAAATTAGGTTTCACAGAATTGCAGATCGCGGAATCAGCGGCAACAGATTTTTTCTCTTTTTTTTCGGGCTGCCCGACGAAACGTATCGCGGATTACGGAACGTATCACGTTTTTCCGTATATACGTTCTCGTATAAACGTGATACGCGTAGAAGCCCGAGCGTTTTTTCCAACATAGCCAGGCAATCCAGCCAAGGTTTGGTGCTTTGCTCACGTGTATATTGTTGTATCAGGTCCCTACCCTTTCAGCTTTGTCTTATTCCTCCGCTCTCTAAAATGTGACTTCCAGTTCACGAATAATTTTCTATCTGTGAATGGTGGCTCTTTCGTTGTGGCTTAGTAATGGTGCAAATCCATTTTAAGCCGCTTTTGTAAAAGCTACGGTGATGAGAAGCAGTCGCAACGAACAGAAAAAAAAAAAACGCAGAACGCTTGAGATTTTTTTTCCGGGCAGCCTGGAAAAAAAATCAGACACATGCTCGGGCATGAGGTGGGGAGGTGGAGGTGGATGAGGACTACTTGTGCGTGGATGAGTACGACGAGCAGCAGGAGGAGGGCAGGGAGGAGGAGGAGGACGAGGAGGAGGGCGGGGAGTATGGCGAGATATCATGGTTGCTCTAGTTTGCTTATTGCTATATTGAGACCATTTGTTACCTTTTTTTAGCGTTTTCGGTCAAGACTCCCGAAAATTCGTTCTGTGTTTTAAACGCAGCAATTAAACGCCTGCGTTTAAAACGCTGAACGCGCTTTTCTCCACATAGGTCGCAACACCAAAAGCATCCGTTCATATAATGCCTCTCCCTTGTACACATTCACTCCACTGTACAAAGTCGCTGCATTGCAATGCCACAGTCTATCACAATACACGTGCCTGCCTTGGCCTTTCTCCACGCATGCCTCCCTCCACACAACGCAGGGGGCTCTCGTTCAACAATCTCACTGGCACCGTTCCTGCCATCACTAGCGGAACCCTTAAGAACTTGTGAGTCTCCGAAGCTTGCCTCTCCTGGCATGCCCTTATGAGTGGCTTGGATCGTGCTACACCTTGCATGCTCAGTGTCAACCAAGTGGAATCGGGTGGTGGAGTCTCCTGGACAGTCTCTCTCAGCAGCTTTCTACTTAAGCAACACTTCTTACGATCTTCCTGCTGCTACTTGAGCAAGGTATGAATTCTTTTTTGATTAAACGCTTATTTGCTGTATTGCATCGTGTTCCCAACAGCCTAATATTGGTTTGGAGCATACGATAGCAAATTCTGTGAAGCCCCAAAGATTTTACCCCACTGACTCCACCCTGTCATGACAATGCTGCATGGTCCTTTTGTTTCACAGCCTTGCCTCATGCTTCTCGTGTTTTGCAAAAGCTACAGTGATGATAAGCAATGCAACATCACGAGCACCCGTTCATATAATGCCTCTCCCTTGTACACATTGACTTCACTGTACAAAGTCGCTGCATTGCACTTCCACAGTCTATCTGCAATACACGTGCCTGCCTTGGCCTCTCCCCACGCGTGCCTGCCTCCACACAACACAGGAGGCTCTCCTTCAACAATCTCACCGGCGCCGTTCCTTCCTTTACTAGCTCAAACCTTGATACCTTGTGAGTCTCCAAAGGTTGCATCTCCTGGCATGTGCTTATGAGTGGCTTGGATCGCAACACCTCTCCGTGTGGCACCTTGCATGATTAGTGTCAACCAATCGGAATCAGGTGCTGGAGTCTCCTGGACAGACTCTCTCAGCACGTATTTCCCTTTCTCAACAGTTGTCTACTTGAGAAACACCCCTTCCGATCTTCCTGCTTATATTCTGTGTTGCATTGTGCTCCCAACAGCCTAATATTGGTGCGGACCTTACGGTTGCATTGGATGTTTTGTGAAGCCTCATATGTCCTGCCGAGATCCACTCCACCCTGTCACGACAGTGCCGCATGAGTTTCACAGCCAATACCAGAGCTGTTGCAGACCGCACATTTCCCTGGACAGTGGCACAGAAGCACTCTCGTCCCTATCTTAGCGTGCATGTCCCCCCTTCTCCTCCACTGCCCTCCCCTCCGCCGGCTCTCACTGCCTGCTCTCACGGCGTGCAGCGACCTCTCCCACAATCACCTCAGCACCCTGCCTACCGCCT